ATTTCTCGGGTGGGACTTCCCTCATTTTACATTATCAGACTTCCATTGTAAGTTTAATGACAGCATTGTTTTCATGGATTACTTTAGCATTTATTAAGTTTAGAAACCTTTTTCTTTGTTGTTTACTGGTTTTTCACCCAATTAATTTTTGGTGTTTTCCCAACTCTCAATCTATAGAATACAAATGCTAGATGAGTAGTTCCTGTACAGTACGATACTTAAATATAATAATCTTCATATGAAACTCACAAAACCACAGAAAAATGGGATTTTGGCATCCCATTGAGGTAGATTAGAGAAGCAATATTAGTTTTCTAAAAAAAAAAAAAAAAAAAAAAAGAGAAGCAATATTAGTAACTTGGATATCAAGTGTAGGACTTCCCTGATTTCACATTATTAGCCTCCTTTATAAATTTAATGTCGGTTTTGCTTTCAAGTGTACGATCGCCTTAGTATTTCTAGGGTTTTAGAAAGGTTACTATTTTAACCAACTGCTGACTGAAGTTGATTTAAAACTTTTGTTTAGTTAGTTTGTTTATACTATTGTTTGTGCATATACAATCCACTTCCAGAACTGGCCCTACCCAAACAAGGGACTCTGTTGTAGCCCTCTTAAGCGGTGATATGCTGCCCTTTAATTTCCATGTCTAATTCCCAACAGCCATCATCTGTGTTAAAAGAAAAATAGACAGTTTCTTCTACATCTGGCTTTGTTTGCAGAGACTGTCATGCAACAATGAGTCCTCAAAAACAATGTTCTCTTCCCAAGGCTGCCACCCTCTCCTGGAATAGATATTCAATATTAAGCCGGAATACTTCTACATCATCCACAACTTTTGTTTTTTCCTAGATATGAGAAAGACCAACAAAATCCTGCCATCAAATTCTACCAAATATTCAGTGAAATGCTTGGAGAACACCCTAGGAAGTAGGAACAGCCCTTTCCGAACTCCAAGCTGTGTGTCTTATCCAAAAATAGATTAATGGTATACAAGGACACGTGGCAAGACTCCACTAGTCTAGCCATCAACATTTTTTTTTATTATTATGATCCAACTTGGAGAGTACAACAGCTTGGCAGCCTCTTGCTCGAGGCACACTGACTAAAAGATAACTATGGTGTTGATCAACCATGGTCAAGTTAACTATATTAGATCACACATTATTATCCCTTCATAGACACAGCACAATTATCATCTTCTCCCTTTCTCATTTTTTCTACCTCTGATCTCCATCTACCTTGAGTACCGTACTAATGTCGAACATTGGACTGCCAAGTCATAGAAAACTCTAATCTTGGGTAAGATCTAACATCTTCCTTATTTTGCAGGTAGCCCGATTGTCAGATTTTAGGAATAACACTTTGATTCTCAGATTTGTAGACACAAAAGCATAGAACCTTCCTTTGAATTGAGTTGTCCAACAAAATTGAAGGCAAGGTTTCTCCTCCATGGCTCGAATCAACAGAATACAGATGCGAAAAAGAACTATAGTTTGCGTTTATGTTGTCTTATTTTTGCTCTTTTGCTCTGGCGGGGTTCTTTTGGATGGTTTTAAAAGTTCTAGTCCTTCTATGACTGTGGCAGGATTTATAATCTACACTACTCTTATATTGGCCATAGTTTTCAGTTTGTTCCTTCTAATTAAAGTTGAGTTACAGATGCGCAAAAGAACTATAATTGGTGTTTACCTTGTCTTAGTTTTGATCTTTAGCTCTAGCATAGTTATTGTGTTACGTTCTAAAAGTTCTCATGAGAACTTGGGGTCGTTAATGTTCGTAGGTATTGGTTTTTTGGCTTTAATTTTCAGTCTGTTCCTTTGTTTGACGAAGTGTGGTAGGATGAGGAAAAAAAGTGAACTAGATGATCTTGCCATTGATGTGTCCTTTGGTGATGAATTTGGGAATGGGTTGGGACCTAAGATGTTCTCTTACGATGAATTGTCCAAAGCAACTAAGGATTTTGCAGATGAAGAGAAGCTTGGCGAGGGAGGATTTGGAGCAGTATATAAAGGTGTCTTGAGGGATTCCAACACAAATGTGGCGATTAAAAGGGTTTGGAAGAGGTCAAAAGAAGGAATCAAAGCATATGAATCAGAAGTGAAGATTATTAGTCGTTTGAGGCATAGGAATTTGGTAAAGCTTATTGGATGGTGCCATGAGAAGGAACTTTTACTTGTTTACGAGTTCATGCCTGGTGGTAGCCTGGATTTCCATCTCTTCAAAGGGAGGAGCTTGTTACCATGGGAAATTAGATACAAAATTGTGCAAGGCTTAGCATCAGCATTGTTGTATTTACA